TCTCAGAAGTCAACCTGGGGGGTACCTGGGGGGGTCAGTTGGTTTCGCGGCTGATTTTGGCTCAGGTCATGATCTCCGGGGTCCTGAGATGGAGCCTGGAGCCCAGTCCCCACCCACCCACCCCGGCTCAGCAGAGTCCGCTTCTCCCTCTGCCCCTCCCCCAGCTCATGTGCTAGCGCTCCCTCTCTCTCAAACAAAATCTTAAAATTTTTTTTTTAATTAAAAAAAAAATGCCAACCTGGAAGCTGACGTGGACAGATAGGTGGCTTTTGTCTGTACTTACCCCTGTGCCACTAAGGGACAGTGCCTGGCATAGACCCTCCTGGGTCCTCTTCTCCATGCCCGACACCTGGTAGGTGCCCAAGCAACGCCTGCTGAATGAACACTAGCCCTCTGCTTATGCCTTTGGCCTTTTGACTTTTTTTGTTTTTTTGGCCTTTCGACTTTTGGAATTGGGCTGCTAGTCTATGGCAATTGACAAGCAGATCAGAGGAGGGGAGGGAGTTTCAGGACCCCCCTGTCCTGCCCACAGCGAAATCTCCTGTGCCTCACACTGAGAGACAGAGCCACTACAGCTGAGTCAGGGGGGCGGGGGTGTTGGGAACCTACCATGGAACGGGGTGTCTGGGGAGTAGGGCGGGAAGTAACTGTGCTTACTAGGGCTTTCTTGATCTGAGGCTAGAAGCCCAGCTCTAGCCCTGCCTGCAGGACTCTAGTGGATTAATAGTTTACTCTCCAGGGGGAAGGAGCAAGCAGGTTAAATTTTGAACCATCAAAGGGTTTTCTGTGTCCTGTTCCCCCCAGGGCTGGGAGAAGGCAGCGGATCAGGGTATCTGGCTCTCCCTTCCTTCCCATTCTTTATTATCCGGCTCTTTGGGGATCTTCCTCTGGTTGTCCCCCTTTAGGAGATGTAGGGCCCCAGGCCTAGCCCCAGGAAGCCCCCAGGCAGTCGCTGTGCCTAGCAGGGCAGCTGGGGTGGTTGCAGGGAGTGGTTCCTACCCCAGGGCTCGCTGACAGCCCACATTGGCAGAGCCCCACCTGCCCCAGCACCTCACTCAGGTTTCCAAGACAGCAGAGGGAGTAAAAGGACAAACTTAATTTCCCTGGGACCCCCATCTAATTGCTTCCTTTCTTTGGCTGTGTTGGTGGAGGGACAGGTATGGGAGTGATGGTGAAGAACACTGTTGCACCATTTCTTTCAAAGCTAGCCGTGTACTGTCTTCAGGAGCTTGTTTTCTGGGTGAGGAAAGAGCTCCTACTCTGTAGGGTGACACAGGTGCTTTGAGGACTTGGCTCCTCCTCCGGCCCTGTGACCTTGAGCAAGTTAGGGAACCTCTCTGTGCTGTTCCTTCATGTGTAAAATGGGGATGGCTGTGAAGATCCCACTCTCCTGCAGGCTCCAGATGCTGGAGGAAATGGACATTGGGGACCTCAAAGCCTCTGTCTCCAGCCTGTGGCCCAACACCTGCTTTGTGTGCACTGAGCCTCAACATCTGTGGTCTCTTCTTCGTACTTCCTGAGATTTTGAGACCCAGTTGCTTTAAATCAGGAGTCTGCAAACTTTTTCTGTAAAGACCCAGATAATAAATATTTTAGGCTTTGTGGGCCATATGGTCTCTGTCGCAGCTACAACTTTGCTGTCGTAATGCAGAAACAGCCACAGACCATATGTAAGTGAATGAGCATGGCTGTGTTCCAAAACAACCTTTATTTATGAACACTGAAATTTGAATTTCATGTAATTTTTATGTATCACAAAGTAGTGTTCTATCTTTGATTCTTTCCCCAGCCATTAAAAAAAAAAAAAGATCGCAGGATGGGTTTGGCCCACAGTCCTCTAGTCTGCGGGCCACCACCTCTTTACCAGAGCAGCCCTCCCTCCATCAGGAGCTGATTGGTGGGGGTCCCTGGCCCTTCTCGTTGGATGTGTTGGATGTGGGTGGCTCCAGGTCTTCCCATCAGCAGTTGTTCATGGCCAGGAGTCCCCATCATAGCTGCATTACCATCAGCCCACAACATGCTGTCCTTTTTCTGAGAGAGAGCTGCGGGATGGCTATCTTTTGATGCCGATTTCTGCTTTCTCCCCGGGCCTTTCAGTCCCTAGCTCTCTGATTCTCCATTCCCAGCCTCTAAATGAAAACCATGAGACCAGCCTTTCTGATGTCCCCAGCACACACTCAGCACCACGTCAGTCACATTCTGTACACAGTATCATCAAGCCTCTCAACTTGCAGGGTCAGTATCGTTCCCATTGTACAGATGGTTCTGAAGCTCGAAAGCGCTGAGCAAGTTTCCCAGGTCATGTGGCTCACGAAGGTGGCAGAGCTAACCAGCCCAATGGGTTTTGGAGCCCCAATAGCACCATGAGGAAATTACGCCTCAGGATTTTGAATAACGGAGGTCTCTCCCCTGCCCCTCCTCTCTCTCTGTTAAAGTACTGTGTGCTCTGACCCCAGCACTCTGGCGTGCCCAACCATCCACTGATTGGATCAGGGGCAGGAGATGCTGGTAGGGAAGCCATTCAATCCAGAGATAAGAAGACTCCTTGCTTTCCTCTCATGCCTTCCTCTCGAGCATCTGACCCCAGGCCTATTTCAGAATCTCTGATCTCTGCTCTGTGGAAGCAGTGATGTGACATGATGGGATCTCATCTGGGGGCTAAATAAAGCCATTGTGTGAGAGCCAGCCCTGGCTGCTGCCCTGCACCATCTCCTAAGCTCAGGAGGTTGGGGGAGACAGGTGGGCCCTGGTGGGAGCTGGTGGAAGAGAGGTCAGGGAGAGAACACAACCATGAAGCCAGCTTGCATTTCAGAAAGTGGACAAGGAATGTCTCTGGGAGGGGTTGAGGCAGCTTTGCTACACTTCATCTCTTTGAAGGACAGAATAGAAATTATTGATATTTCAGCGTGGATGGGACGGGTGGAGTTTAGAGAACAGGACATATGGAGAGAAATGGCATGAAGATATGAGGCAGAAGGAGCCGCACAGGTTCCATTTGCACAGAGGGCGGAGGCCAGGAATTAACAACATGAGTGCTGGGAAAAGGTGGGTCCCCAGAAGAGGCCAGGTTCCAGCTGGTTTGAGCTAGAGGAAGAAGGGCAAGATTTCAGGATCAGAGATATGTGCCCAGCAGGCCAGGGCAGCAAGTACCCTCTCCAGCCGGCAATATCCCTGGGGATGGAGAGGGCAAGGCTTTAGTCCATGCATCTCACTAAGCTCACTCAATCCAGCCCCACGGACCCCACTGGGCAGGAACAGCAGGCAGAAGCTGGGGTTGGCTAACTCCAGTGCGTTTGCCACTTCCGTGAGGTCTCTGTCCTGTTTCCAGCCTCTGTTCTTCTTTTCCTGGTGAGCACCCCGGTTCCTCCTCTGGCTTCCACCCCAGGCTCTCACAATACTCCACCCTCCCTGCCCCTGAGTATCAGCTTTGGGGACCACTGGATGGAGGTCTGGGCTCTGGCCCTCCAAACTGCTTGCTCCCCAAGGAGCTCCCATTTCCCCTGAGCACATCAGATGGCACAAGGCCTTGTCACAGACAGACACACAGAGGGCACCTGTCCTGGTGGTCAGCTGAGGGGCCCTCTACGTGGCCTCCAGGTGTGGGGAGCATGGACTGATTTCCCAGGCCTCTCCTGGTCTGTCTTCAGAGCCATAGTGGGGCCGCAGGGGCCATCTGCTCAGCCACTTCCTTCCCTGTGGCAGACAGGGATGGTGCAGCACCTCTCAGCAGTGGACAGGTGGCGGTGACAGTGGGAAAAGTGGCTTGAAGGATCAACTTTCCAACAATACAGGACCTGGGGAAGGCAGAAAGCCTGGGAGGAGGTGGAAGGCTCTGGCTCAGTGGTTCCTGGGCCCTCTAGGCCCTGCCAACAGCTCAGGAGCTGGGGGTGCCCCGGGACCAGGAAGAAGGGGAGCCTCATTTGCAGAAGGCCACCAGAGACGGGGCCAGGAGTGAGCAGCACGGACACCTGCCATGATAGAGGAGAGGCCCCAGCCCGCCTCAAGCACTTCTATACTCAGGTATTTGGTACTTCTCTCTGGAGTGGGGCTTATCACTTCAACTCTGAGAGTTCCTGAAGGTTCTTAACTCCGAGACACACCGAGACAGGCCGCGGGGGCCACCAGGAGTGCTGGGTGACAAGAACAACCCCTGGGGTGATGTGGGGAGGCACGGGAGAAGAGATTTTGATGTGGCTGCTAGCAATGCCTTCTCTCTGCTCCCTGGAGAGAGGACTTTTCGCTCTGTCACTTCCCACATGACCAGCCTTGGAAGGAAGAAACCAGAACACTTTCTTGTGAGCCTTCCTCCTGTTCCTCAGTCTGCCCAGGCTCTTCCTGCCCTGCTTGGCCAGATCCTACCTCTCACCCTCTAGGCTCTCAGGCTGCTGCCTTCCTTCCATTGTCTCACTGAGCTCTCCGAATGGCTCATCATCCTTGGATGCACAAAGCCTTCTGTTGCATCTTCTCTTGTGGCACAAGCCACTCTGGCCACTTAGTAATTTGTGATGTGGGCTTTGGTCTCTGTGTATGTGCACATGCACACACGCACGCACACACATCACTGTGAATTCCTTGAGGACAGGAATGGTATCTCTCTCTCTGCTTGGCTAGGTTCTCTGCCGTAGCGGTGCCCAGGAACTAGAAGGGTAATGAGTGAATGAGGATGTCATCATGCTCCAGAGAGAACACTAGACTGCAGGTCAGAGAAGTTGGCATCTAGACGCTCATGTGTCCTGGAGCCAGCCGCTGTCCAGTGCTGTGCCTCTGTAAAGGGAGAGCCGGCTATGACACTCCTCAGTTCCAGGTTCCAGGATTCTAGAACTTCTCTCACTCAATCTCTGTCTTCTTGACACAGACTGGCCTGTGTGTGCCTCCCATGAACGGAGACATCCCAGAGGTGTTCCTTGCTGGTGGAGACCTGGTGCCCCAAGGCCACACTCGCCGCTGTCTGTCTGTGGTTGAGTCTGGAGAGCAGCTGGAGGAAGAAGAGGAGGAGGGAAATACGGAGGAGGAGGGGAATGGCTTTCATCCCATGCCCCTCCGAAGATCGGGGGCCTTCCGTGCCCACGCCCACAACCACAACCCCTTCAAGAGACACAGTTGGGGGCCAGGCAGGGAGCTCCGGGATCCACTGAGCAGGTAACCCCCAGGGGACCTCCTGCCTCCTGTCTAGACCTAGACCTAGGAGAAGGTGATTGGGAAGGCACGCCTGGAGCTGAGGACACCTGGGCACTCCCTGGACATTCCAGACCCCGTGTCTCTGGGGTTCTTGTTGAGGATGACCTGCCTTTAAAAGTGCAGCTCTTCCTGTGGTCCTGGCTCCTCTCCACCTGGTCTCAGGGGCTGGTGGGGAAGGTACGGGGTTGGGGAGATATCGCCTCCACCGCCCACTCTGGGTTTCATAGAACCATAAAAGGAATCAGAGCTGGAAGGGACGCAGGTATTATGTGGCCCAAACTCCTCACTTTACAGCAGAGGAAAGCTAGGCACAGACAACTGGGAGGTTCCTGAGAAGTGCCCCCGGGGTAGGGGGGAGCATTGCTGATTCCAGGCTGACACAGCCCTGGGATGTTTTGGACATCACAGTAGAGCCCTTGCAGTAGAGGAGTAGTGACTCTTGCTCACAGGCCTGTGCATCTGATTGGCAGAAGACAGGGCCCAGCTCTCCTCCTCTTCTGGAAAACCCCTGACCACTTCCCCAAAGACAGAGGAAGTCAGAAAGAGAAGATCTGGGGGTCAATGTGGAGAGCTCAGTGTGGGTGGTCATTGAGAGGGCCCACCAGCCACGGAAGGGCACTGACTCTCTGCTCTGGCTGCGGTCCCACGGACAGGTTCCCTTAGCTCAGGTGAGTCACTCCTGGCACAGCTGGCTGAGCTGGGCGGAAGGGGAGGACTCTGTGCCGTGTCCCTGAACTGACCTGGGTGGCAGCTCAGGTGGAAGCCTTGCCCACCGGGGTCATGGAACCTTTCCAAGAGCAGCCAGCTGAAGGCAGAGATGCCATGGGTGCCCCTCATGTAGTGCCAGCTGTATCTCAGGGTCTTTAAGGGGTCACCGTTCACCGCCAGGCACTAACTCTGCCCCTTGGAGTCCAGGGCTGAGGAGGGCAAAGCTGGGCATCAGAAACCAGGCAAGGAGTGAGTTTCCAGCTTGCCCTTGCCCTTGGCCTCTGCCAAGTCTGGCTTCCTTCTGGAGGATAGTTCTGTCCCGTGGCCAGCAGGGGCCACCCTTGCCCGCAGCTTTGCCACAGTGCAGCCCTGCTGGCGGGCAGTATGGGTCTGGGCCACATCTATGCCGACAGGAAGGGCTGGGCTGAGCGGTGTTCCTCTCTGGTGCCTGGCACTAGCCCCTAGGTACAGAGGGCAAGTGGTGGTGATGTGTGTTTCAGGAGCGAACCGCAGGCTTCGGGATGTATGGGCTGCCAGGAGGCCCCCTCATCGCAGAGCCAAGAGGAGCTGGACGCTTTTCTGGGATTGCAGTGCCAAGGTGGCCAGCCTTCCTGCGGGGTATGACAAGAGTCCCCAAGGAGGCCAGCGCCTTCCTCTCACCCACCCACCCCTGCCCCCTTGCCTGTTCCGCCACTACTCTGTGCCTCTTCCGTCCTGCCAGCTGTGGCTCTGTCTGTGCCCAAGCATCCTTCTGACTCCATCTGGCTGAAGCCATGTCTACTGTCTGCACTTCTCTGTCTGCCTCCCTGGTCTCTGTGCCCTGTCCCCTGCTCTTGGTGTCCCGCCTCTGCCTCTTTCGATTCTCTGTCCCCATCTTTCTGTGTCTGAGCTCTGCGCTGATGTGAAAAGGCCTCTGCTCCCCTCACTGTGACATCCACTTCTTTCTGTGGACCCCACATTTCTCAACATTGGAACTGAACTTATGATATATGGGATGAAATGAGGCATCTGGTGCCCTGAAAAACAGTGGATTTCTAAGGATATAATCATAGAATTATCAGGTGAGAAAGGGTATAGAGTCTGCCCAGGCTTCTGGCCTAAGGGAGCACATCTGGGGGATCCCAAGCCAGGACCTAGAGACCCCTGAGGATACACAAGGCCTCTGGAGGCCCCCCTGGGCCTGCTCGATATTTTTAAAAAAAAACTCAGTTGCTTAACAGACTGAGCCACCTAGGCACCCCATTTATTCATATTCTTATTGGCCATGTACATATCTTCCTTTGTGAAATATCTGTTCAAGCCTTTGTTCAGTTTTTAAAAAGATTTTCTTTTTTTTCCCCAAAGATTTTATTTATTTATTCATGAGAGACATAGAGAAAGAGGCAGAGACATAGGTAGAGGGAGAAGCAGGCTCCTTGCAGGGAGCCCAAAGCAGTACAATCCAGGACCCCAGGATCATGACCTGAGCCAAAGGCAGATGTTCAACCACTGAGCCACCAGGTCGTCCTAAAAGATTTTATTTCTTTTTTTTTTAAGGTTTTATTTATTTATTCATGACAGACACAGAGAGGGAGAGAGGCAGAGACACAGGCAGACAGAGAAGCAGGCTCCATGCAGGGAGCCGGACATGGGACTCGATTCCGGGTCTCCAGGATCACACCCCAGGCCGAAGGCGGCACTAAATCCCTGGGCCACCGGGGCTGCCCCCGAAAGATTTTATTTCTAATTAAGCTCTGTACCCAATATGGGGCTCAAACCACTGCTGAGACCAAGAGTCTCAACACCTCTGACTAAGCTGGCCAGGCACCCCAACCTTTTGCCCACTTTTTAACAGCTTCTCTTTTTCTTATTGATTTGTAAGAGTTCTTTATTAAAAAAAAAAAGAATTATTTATTTATTTATTTATTTATTTATTTTAAAGATTTTATTTATTTATTCATGAGAGACACAAAGAGAGAGACAGAGAGATAGAAGGAGGAGAAGCAGGCTCCATGCAAAGAGTCTGATACAGGACTTGATCCTGGGGCCCCAGGATTACTCCCTAAGCCAAAGGCAGATACTCAACCACTGAGCCACCCAGGTGTCCCAGATTGATTGATTGATTGATTGATTGATTTGAGAGAGTATGAATGCATGTGCATGCACAAGCAGGGGGCAGGGTGGGGAGGAGAGGGATAGAGAGAGAGCAGCAGACTCCCTGCTGAGCTCGGTGCCCTGGGTGGGGTTGGATCCCACAACCTTCAGATCATGACCTGAGCTGAGATCAAGAGTTGGAGCCCTAAGGACTTTAACTGAGCCTCCCAGGTGCCCCAAGAGGTCTTTATATATTCTGGATTTGTGTCCTTTGTCAGATATAAGTATTGTCAATATTTCCTCCAGTCTCTGACTTGCATTTTTACTTTAATAGTGTATTTTAATAAGCCTAAGTTTTCATTTAGATAAAATCAATTTTATCACATTTTTTTGCCAATATATCAACTTATTTTTCCCCACCTGATCCCCAATTTATTAAATTTTTAATGGTTAGTGCTTTGGGTCCTTTTTAAGAAATCCTGCTTATCCCATATGTTGGCAAATCGAACTTAAATAAAAACAAATGTAAACAAAAATAATAAATAAATAAATAAATAAATAATAAAAGACTAAAAAAAAAAAAAAAAGAAATCCTGCTTATCCCAAGAATGTGAAGATTTTTCTCTAGTGTTTTCATCTAGAAGCTTTATAGACTTAGCTTTCACATTTAGCTGTATGATTTATCTAGATTCTTGAGTGTGGTAGAAATCAAGGTTTTGTGTTTGCCCCCCCTATATATAAAGATACAGTTGCTTCATTAAAAAACCTTTCTTTCCCATCAAATTGCCATGGTGTCTTTGTTGAAATCAAGTGACTGTATCTGTGTAAGTCTCTTACTGGGCCCTGATCTTTTTTCCATTATCTGACTATCCCTATGTTAGTATCACATTGTCTTAATTAATGCAGCTTTTATTGTTAATCTTAAACATGTGGTAGTGTAAATCCTCCATTTTGTTATTTTCTTTTACGACCATATTATCTATTCTAGGTCTTATGCATCTCCATGTGAATTTTATTTTATATTTCTTTTTAAAAACTTTTTTTTAAAGATTTTATTTATTTATTCATAGACACACAGAGAGGCAGAGGGAGAAGCAGGCTCCCTGCTTTTTTTTAATTTTTTTATTTTTTTCATTTATTTTTTGATAGTCACAGAGAGAGAGAGAGAGAGAGAGAGAGAGAGAGACAGGCAGAGGGAGAAACAGGCTCCATGCAGGGAGCCGGACGCGGGACTCCATCCTAGGACTCCAGGATCACACCCTGGACCGAAGGTGGCGCTAAACCGCTGAGCCACATGGGGTGTCCTAAAAAACTTTTAAATATTTTATTTATTTTTGAGAGGGAGAGAGAGAGGGAGAGAGAGAGACAGAATGAGCACAAGCCAGGGGAAAGGCACAGACAGAAGCAAACTCCCTCTGAGCAGGAAGTCTGATGTGGGACACAATCCCAAGACCCTGGGATCATAACCTGAGCCAAAGGCAGTTGCTTAACTGACTGAGCCACCCAGGTGCCCCTCCTGTTGCATTTTTTTTTTAAATTTTTATTTATTTATGATAGTCACACAGAGAGAGAGAGAGGCAGAGACATAGGCAGAGGGAGAAGCAGGCTCCATGCACTGGGAGCCCGACGTGGGATTCGATCCCGGGTCTCCAGGATCACACCCTGGGCCAAAGGCAGGCGCTAAACCGCTGCGCCACCCAGGGATCCCCTCCTGTTGCATTTTTATTGAGATTATACTGAGTTCAAAGATTAATTTAGGACAAATTAACATTTTTTAAAAAAGATTTTATTTATTTGTTCATGAGAGACACACAGAGAGAGGCAGAGACATAGGAGGAGGGAGAAGTAGGCTCCTTGCAGGGAGCTCCATGTGGGACTCGATCCAGGACCCTGGGATCAACTGCCTGAGCCGAAGACAGATGCTCAACCACTGAGCCACCCAGGTGCCCCTGACATCTTTTTAATATTAAATCTTCTTACCCATGAAAAATAATATACGTCTCTATTTAGTTAGGTATTCTAAAGAAAACTATGTCTTTTATCAAAGCATGAGTTTTCTTCATACAGGTCTTGTCAATTTTTATTATATTTATTTCTAGGTAACTTACAGTTTTTGTTGCTATTATGAATGCTTTTTTTTTTGCTTTCTTATTTTTAAATTACATTTCCAAACTTTTTTCGTTTACAGAATGGAATAAATTAGACCTTGTATAATTGTCTTATACTCACTTATCTTGCTAAGCTCTCTCTTGTTTTCTGTTATAAAAATTTATCTGTGATTTTTTTTTCCTGAGTAGACAATTATGTCATCTTTAAATGTGCTTTGTTTCTTTTGTTCCAAGATTTATTCCTTTTCTTTCTTTTTCTTGCCCTCTCTGCTGGCTGGTATCCTACTGCAGTGTTGGGCAGAAATATGATTACGGGTATCCTTGTCTTTTTTTTTTAATGAAATAGCACCAGTGCAGTTTATTTTAATGCTTCTTTTCATGAGTATAGTATCCTTGTCTTTGACTTCAGAGGAAGTACATCTTATTGATATTGATTTTTGGCTGTACGTTTATAAAGGACACTTTTTTTATCAGGTTAAGGAAGATTTCTTTGATTCCTAAGGCTTTCACTTTACAGTAAGTGAATTGAATTTACAGTAAGTGGTATTGAATTTTATTCTATGCTTTTCTGCTTTTATGGAGATGGTTATATGTTTTTCTCCTTTAATATATTACTGAGGTAAATTAACTGTAAGGACTTTTCTCATATGTCACCCTTTTATTTTTAAAATGAATCCAACTTTGTCATGACAGATTATCTTTTTTTTATTTAAAGATTTTATTTATTTATTCATGAGATACACAGAGGGAGGGAGAGGCAGAGACACAGGCAGAGGGAGAAGCAGGCTCCATGCAGGGAGCCCGATGTGGGACTCGATCCTGGGTCTCCAGGATCATGCCCTGGGCCAAAGGCAGGTGCCAAATTGCTGAGCCACCCAGGGATCCCCCAGATTATCCTTTTTATACAGCGCATAACAAATCAACCCCAAACTTAATGGCTTAAAATGACTTTTTTCCCCCTCTCACTATTCTGTGGGTGAATAATTTGGGTTGACCTCAGCTGAGTATTCTGCTTACTTCACCTGGACTCACATGGCTGCAGGTGGCTGGTGGCTTGCATATGGCTGGTGGCCAAGGCTGGCCATATTCACATCTGCCATTTGTCAGGCTGAAAGTTGCGATACCTTGGTTGTCATTCACATGGCCTCTCCAGAGGTTGGTTTAGACTTGTTCACATGGAAATAGCAGTGAAAGTGGACAAGAGTGCAAGCTTCAGGGTTTCTTTTCTTTTCTTTTTTTCCCAGAGCTTATTTATTTTTAGAGAGAGAGAAAGAGAAAGAACAAGCAGGGAGAGGGGCAGAGGGAGAGGGAGAAACAGGCTCCCTGCTGAGAGGGGAGCTTGATGTGGAGCTGGATCCCAGGACCCTGAGATCACCACCTGAGCCAAATGCAGATGCCTAACCGACTGAGCCACCCAGGTGCCCCAACCTTTAAGGTTTCTTGAGGTTAAAGCTCAAAAATCATCTAAGCCCCTTCCACAACATTCTTTTTTTTTTTTTCTTCCACCACATTCTATTCATCTAGTAGAGTCACCGGCCAGCCCAGGTTCAAGGAGTGGATGGATACTTCCTTGGTGGAGGCAGCAGCAAATGCTTTGTAGACATTGAAAATCTACTTTGGTTTGCTAGTGATTTCTGTACTTAAGTTAATAAGAGAAATTGTCCCCAAATCTTGGTCACACTGTCTGTGTGCAGTTTAAGAATCAAGGTTATACTCACATTATAGGGAGAGTTAGAGAGTTTTCATTTCTATTCTTTGAAGAGTTTACATAAGATTTCTGTTCTCTAGTCCTTGAGATATCTGTAAAATGTTTTTGGCCTGGTGAGTTTTGTTTTGTTTTATTTTAAAGTTTTTTTTATTTATTTATTCATGAGAGACACAGAGAGAGGCAGAAACATAGGCAGAGGGAAAAACAGGCTCTACACAGGGAGCCCGATGTGGGATTTGATCCCAGCACTCCAGGATTATGCCCTGAGCCGAAGACAGACTCACCCAACCACTGAGCCACCCAGGCGTCCTTGTTTTGTTTATAGAAAAATTAACTACCGGGCTGCCTGGGTGGTTCAGCGGTTGAGCATCTGCCTTCAACTCAGGGCATGATCCCAGGGTTCCGGAATCAAGTCCCACATTGGGCTCCCAGCCTGTTTCTCCCTCTGCCTATGTCTCTGCCTCTCTCTGTGTGTCTCTAATGAATGAATAAATAAATCAAATCTTTAAAAAAAAGAAAAATATAAATTACCAATTCCATTTCTTTTGAAAATTTTTATTATTTTAAAAATTTATTTGCTCATGAGAGACACATAGAGAAGGCAGAGACATAGGCAGAGGGAGAAGCAGACTCCTCACAGGGAGCCCGATGTGGGACTGGATCCCGAAATTCCAGGATCACACCTGTGCTGAAGGCAAACACTCAACCTCTGAGTCACCCAGGCGTCCCAATTCCATTTCTTTAGTAGGACCATTTAGGCTTTCTATTTCTTCTAGATTCAGTTTTGGTAAGTTATATAGATATAGATACACACATTTTTGTAAGGAATTTGTCTGTTTTGTTTGCTTTTTCAAAATTGCTATCATAAAGTTGTGGGCAGTCTTCTGCCTTTCCAATCACTAGGTCTGCCTCACACTCTTCCTCAATTTGTGCCTTCCATCTGTCTGCCATTCTTACCGGAGTGATGTCTACAATTTTTAGTTTTATTGATCCTATTTTATGTTTACTACTTCCATTGATTTCTGCCTTTTTAATTTTTAAAAAATTTTTAAAGATTTTATTTATTTATTCATGAGAGACAGAGAGAGAGAGAGAGAGAGGAGAGAGAGAGAGGCAGAGACACAGGCAGAGGGAGAAGCAGGCTCCATGCAGGGAACCTGATGTGGGACTCGATCCCAGGACTCCAGGATCACTCCCCAGGCCAAAGGCAGGTGCTAAACCTCTGAGCCACCCAGGGATCCCCTAATTAAAAACATTTTTTAAAGTAATCTCTCTGCCCAATACGGGGCTCAAACTCACCACCCCGAGATCATGAGTCACATCCTCCACCAACTCAGGTGCCCTGATTTCTGCTTTCATCCTTATTGTATCCTTCCTTCTGTTTTCTTGGACATTGTTCTGTTGTTCTCTTTATAATTTTTTCAAGTTGGCATAGTTCATTAATTTTCAGCTTTTAAAATTTTTCAATGTAAGCATTTTAATGGCCTAAAAGTAGGGGGGGGGGGGGCGTGGGGGGGGGGGGAGGGGTAGGGGGGAAGGGGGGAGGGGGGGTTAACCCCGGAAATACCACTTTGGTTGGTGTGGGCCATGTCTCACAAACAAAACTTTTGATACTACAGTATCTAACCTCAAGACATATATCCCTACAAGAATTACTCACCCACCCTAATAAAATAAAATCTTAAACACTACATCACGATCATTACCCCCCCCCCCCAGTGGCATAGCCCACCACGCCCAGCGTGACCCTGCTACCCCAGCACCCCAGCAAGCGCCCACCCATGTTAGCCCCCGTCCCCACACAAACCAAACTCTAACCAAATAGACTAAAGAACTCCGTACATTCTTACACATCCGACCTAATATAAAATAAACCGTCTCCCTACAATCCAAAAAAAAAACCCCGCAAAACAAACTTAACACAACCCATAAAAATCCATGTATCACAAATCCTCCCACTTTCCTCGGGCGTGCCTTCTCCCACTTGCCTCTGGCTGCCTCCTGCAACTACCCTGCGCCATCTAGAAATGTTCCACACCACATCACCATTCCAGTTCAACATCCCATATCTTGCCCCCTTCCTTCATCACCCCCCCTTTACCGCAAGCAGGTTGCCCCGCCCCTCAGACCACAACCATACGCCCAGCGCAATAACCCCCCCCCAAACACACACACTACTCGCGATTAAAATAAACCCCCTCCCCCCCTAATAAACCCCACACCTCCCCCTTGCACCACCTTTATGTTCCACAGTAGTATCCCAACAGAACAAAGCAGTTCCTCGGATGACCAGAACGTACCTTGGTCCTGGGAACTCAGGCTCCGTCTTCAGGCCACTCAATATTCAGCGGGGGAGGGACTGCTTTCTTCTCCTCTGTCCTCTCATGTATCACACTTACTCTTCACTCAGTCTCTCTCTCACCCCCCCTAGGCTTGTGGTGCAATTGTGGCTCACTCTCGACGGTCTACTCCACAAATACATACCACACCTCTAACCCCCGCCAGCCACACCCCCCCCCAACAGCACAGGCCCAGAACCATACCCCCAGTCCCCAGAAAAGACCTACTCGGCAGCCTACAATTCAGAAAACCTCACAGCACCCACTGATGCTTACCCCGAGCCGACACCCCCACCAACGCAGCCTCCTGATTAACCCACCGACCCTCCTCAACCCCACCACCTTGCCCCACTAACACGTACAACGGCATTTGCCGTCCACAACCCCATAACTCGATGTGTCCAAAAAAAATAACTCCGGCAAATACATATAAACCAAACTTTACATCATACACCCCGGCCACCCCAGTGGTGCCACAACCCCACCCCCGCCCACACACGCAAAACAAGCACTACCTCTCTACTTAACTACGCCCCAGACTGAGCCCCCAACTCAGGCCACCAACACCTAAATGAGGCAGAAATCACTTCACATGCATGTAACCATTAGCGTGCCCAAAGCTCTAATTAAGTGTATTTGCGAGTTTATTATGTGATTTAAAAATCTATCTTTCACCCCACACAAATAAGTTAGAAGAGAATCCTCCATATATGATTCGGAGCGACTTGGAGGAGGTAGTACCATTACAATTGCAGCATACAATATTGTGGAGACTCGACAATAACACAAGATACCTAAATAACCCAGTGGTGTGGGGGGTCCATACGAAAGGGATTTCATCACTTTCAGGGCTTGTTTCCTGTGATCTCTCTGATATGGATGATTTGAAATGTGTTAAAATATGCCTTATGGCCTGATATGTGACCAGTTTTTGTAACGCTTCATGTAGGCTTGAGAAAAATCTTTCTTTCCTAATGGTTGGTTGTGTGGCTCATGAATATTCCTGCTCCCTTTTGTCTTAAACCCAGACTGTCCAGGTCTATCATTTCCTTTCTATTACCTGACTGGCTTCCATAGTTTGAGTTTGTCATGCCTGGAAACTCTTCAGGGTTACATTTTTTCTAAGATATTTTCTGCATTGGGCTTGGACTGCAGCAGAGTGCTGAGAGCTGGCAGAAATGATTTGCCAGTGATTCAGGTGGAATGTTGAGGATGTGGGTAGTGCAGAGGGCTGGAGACCTGAGGACTTGAAGACAGACCCCCTGCGGAAAAGTGGGAGCATGGAGAGTGGGAACAGGAGAGGGATGAGGCCTGACTTTGTGTGAGGATTCTTGACATGATTCTAGGGTCGGAGTTGCTGTCATCCATCTGCTGACCCTTTGGACCACTCGGCCACTGGCATGCTTTCCAAGTCTGTATCCATGAGTGGCATCAATTGCCTCTTGGGCAGCTCTGATCCAGCTGGTGAGTAGGGGTGGAGGAGAGGCACCCCATCTGTCTCACCATTACCCCTCAGAGCCAGCTGTTGAGTCTGCATGTCCTGGGTTCTGTTTAACCACACACCCTTTGAATTCAGGACTTTGGCTTCTGAGACTTTCCTTCCAATGAAGGAGGACATAGGAGAGATTGTGGCTCTGCAGTTCCCTCTGTCACGGGTGATGGAGGACAGTTACCTGTGATGTACCTTGTCCCCATGACAAGGCACTGGGCACTGTGGTGAAACCTCTGCTCTCTCCATTCTGCAGAAACACAGCTGAGACCTCAGGCCCTGAGGCCTGTGCTCCATGGAGCCCTCGTGCTCTCTCAGTTCCCGGGCCCCTAAGTTCTTCAACTCTGCTGGGGTCAGGCCCCACCCTTTACCCCCTGCCTCCCTGCCCCCACCCCCACCCCACCCAGCGCCAGCCCTCTGAGGCAGCATGGCCCCTGCAGCTTGGGACCCTGATCCAGGTGGAGGGGGTGGGGGAGGCAAGCCTGGATCACTTCGTCCAGCTTCAGCTGGACACCTCTTGTCTCCTTTTGTGTTGGCAGGGAATTTATACCAGTCCTCTGCCACTGACCTTAGCCAAAGGTGAGTTCGAGACCCAGAGCCCTTCAAAGGCCTAGCCAGAAGAGGGGCAATGGGACTGGACCACGGATGTCGTGATTCCCGGGGTCTCTGCTTTCTGAAATCTTGTTCCACTTAATGTTTTCCTTAGGTATTTATGTTGGTATGTATGTATTTAGAGCAGGTGTGCAAGCTGGTGGAGGGAGAGAGGGAGAGAAAATCTCAAACAGACTCCTTGCTGAGTGTGGAGTGCTCAGTCTTGCAACCCCGAGATCATGAGCTGAGCCAAAATCAAGAGTGGGACTCACCACTGAGCCACCCAGGCGCCCCTCCCCTTAGCACTTCTGATCAAAGCCTCCAGATATCTTTCTCCCTGAGCAGCACAAGAATTCACCGCCTTCTCCCTCATTGGCCAGGGAAGGTTTAGGTTCCCAGTAGCCCCAAAGGAAAAGTAGCATCCAGACCCCAGGTGGTCAGATGAGTAAGACAGTGGGAGTTGCTTGTTATTGTCAGTGCCAGAAAGGTGAGTGGGCAGATTGGCTGTTGGACAGTCTTACGGAGAGACAGGGACCAAGGATCCCATGGATCTGCTTCGGAGGTTCAGATAATTGACCAATGAGGAGTGGCCCTAAGGAGAGCTCCGGTGGCCGGGGGTTGGTGTGGGGGGCAGGGGCTATGGGCCTAGCTCAGGAATATTGGAGGAGTCTGGAAGATTTCTGTAGCCAGAAAAATAAGCGCACAAAATCAGCACCTGTTTGTTTGGCTCCTGGTGCTGAAGCCTGGTGAGAGCGGCTGGGCCCCCGGACAATGTGGCTGGATGCGCTTGCCATGGCCCTTTAAGATGCCAAGCTCTGATTTGTGGTCCTGAAAATCTCTAGCTGACACATCCTGCTGGCTCTGCGTTTGGGATTAGCTCATGGGATGGGGCTGATGAAATCCCAGGAAATCCACTCCTCATTGGCTTCAGGCCCAGAGGCCCTTTCCAAACAGCACAGAGGGTCGTACACAGGGCTCTTGTGTTTTGAGGGGAACATGCCCTCCCCTGGAGAGCCCTTACCCCATATCTTTCACGGGAGAGCAGTGCAAGAAGAGATCGGGCCTGAGTTAGGTAGGAAGGGGGTGGTCTGTCTTTATCTGGGAGGAGCCTGTAGTTTCCCTCCCAGGTGAAGGGCCTGGGCAACAGTGTCCTGTCCACATCTGTCCTGTCTGGGAAGTGAGGGTGGGCTGAGGGGTCTCTCTCCAGGCCGTCCTTGGACCTCCTTTCTCCCCTCCTGGGCCCGGCACCTTCACCAGCCATGGCTATGGGAGCATCATCTTTCTCTTCCCCGTCTCCGTCTCCACCTCTTTACCTCTTCTTTTTCTCTCTGCAGCTGTGGCCAATTGGAAGGAGGCTTGGGTACCTGGGTAGGCTCCCCGCTGCAGCGTACCTTCAGCTTCTTCCTGAGCATGACCAGAAAGGCTAAGGTAGGAGTCGGTGGGAAGTAGAAGGCCTGGCCCCCCTCCCCTCCCTGCTTCCCTTCCTCCTCACCCCACCATCCGCTCCCCTCCCCAGCTTCCTGGGGAGACAGACACTCAAGGCAGTGGTTCAGTTTGAGGGGCCACCTGCCAGTTCTCCCAGTCTCTGTCCCACATCCCCGGAGGAGTCACATTTCCTCAGCTCTCCCCGTGCAGACGGCTGGAAGGAGGGGGTAGGGAAGGAGCCTCAGAAGCTAAGCTGTGGCCCAGCCCTTCCTCCCTCAAGGCCTCCAGTAGCTACAGAGGTGGGCAGCAGAGATCTTAAGCATTGGATAAAATCATGATAATAATTATAGCAATACCTTTTACTTCGCAGAGTATTAGGGTTTGCAAAGTGCTTTTACACTTCTAATTGTATGGGTGGATGTGGCAGCTGACGGAGTGAAATTAGACCACAGGCAGAATGGAAGGCCTGGAAAGTATGTGGTTATGGAAACACATGCACACCCTGTGTGTGGGGCCATGACCAGTTCGGACCCCAGGAAGGTGCAGGTATTCTGCTCTCTCCTCTATTACCAACCCCAGCTCCGTGAAACCAGGTGCTCTGCCTGCTGCTTGAGTGCATTTCCACTTTCTTCATTTACTGGCAGAATGAGCCATCCCCTTTTCTTCTCACAGCCTCCCCAGGTATACAAGTACTTTCCAGCCTGGGGTGGCTTCTGAGCCCTGGGAGGAGTGCCAGAGAAAACATCCTCCTGTTCACCTTGGGGAGCATGGGATTCTCACCCAGAAAGGTTGCTGGGCTCCTCCTGGCCCCACCCCCGGTGCCAGGACTTGCTCCTCTGCCAGCCTCATAGCCAGGGCTCCTCTTTCTCTGGGTGCACCGAGAAGGCAGAGATGTCACCCGCTTGCTAGCAGCTTCTCACCATGTGCTGCAGTGGGGAGTTTGAGGCATGGGACCAGGTGGTCTGAGAAGCGGAGGAACAACCAGAGAATCTTCAAGTTTGGGGTGGGTGAGGGCAGTGGGGCAGGGAGGCTTCTTCTCTCCCATGGTGGGGGCCAGGCTCTCTGGGAACAAGGCAAATGGGGAGACCTGGGGCCTAGGGCCAACCTGCCAGCTCAGCTCAGGGCAGGAGAGTGTGCTGGTGGAACCACCTTTCTTCCTGTGGTCAGGATGGGCAGGGGGAGTCGGTACTGCCCTGGGCCCTCAGGATCCTGCATCTGCCCAGGCTTGGCCCACGTTTGGTGTGGGTTAAATAACTAGGTGGAGGGGAGTGTGGGCTGTATGGAGCTCAGACAGGTGGCAGGAAAGAGCCAGAGCAGTCAAGACCTGGCCTACTGGCCCTTACTCACCAGGGTTTCTGGTCCAGTCCTCTTCCACCCTCCTGAATGTGTGTGGCTGCCTCTCTAATCCTCCTCTGCCCCTCCTCCCAGCCTAGGATAGCTCCTGAGCAGGTAAACATGGGGGTGGGGCTGGAGAGAAGTCCAGCAATGAGAGAGGAAGTGGCTCATTCCTTCCTATTTGACCAGAGTCATCATGGTGAACAAAACACTTCTCCAGAGGTCATCTCATTTCATTCTTATAACACCCTGGCAAAGATAAATACTTTATTTATTTATTTATTATTTTTTTTAATGTTTATTTATTTATGATAGTCACAGAGAGAGAGAGAGAGAGAGAGGCAGAGACACAGGCAGAGGGAGAAGCAGGCTCCATGCACCGGGAGCCCGACGTGGGATTCGATCCGGGGTCTCCAGGATCGCGCCCTGGGCCAAAGGCAGGCGCCCACCCAGGGATCCCTATTTATTTATTTTTAAAGAGAAATATTTTAATCTCCATTTTGCAGACAAGATAACTTAGAGATCCCACAGTTATTATGAGGCAGAGCTGTATTGCAGAGCCAGAGCGTTGACTCCATGCTTCTGCCTCTGTCTGGAAACTTCCCTAACCTGCTTTTCCCCTCTCTTCCCTGTTTCCACCATCTCCAGCTGGATGGCCACTGGAGTCAGCTATGCCTCAGTCAGCCTGTCCTGGAATATACAGGGTCTGGAGCGATAAAAAGAACCCACACACACTCGTGGGCTCTGTAGCACTTGGGCCCGGGGAATCCCTCTGGCTCTGACTGTCCATCTGGTGGCCTAGACTCTGACATGAAGCTCCTGCCTGGGACAGCCTCCCCACCCATGAAGTGTGGGGAACACATTTGTCAAGTTAAATGAGCTATTTTATTGTATTCATTTTAAAGATTTTATTTATTTTTGAGATTTTTATTTACTTATTTTAGAGGGAGAGAGAGAAAGCGTCCACTGGGGGAGGGACAAGGGGGAGAGAGAAGGAGGGGGAGAAAGAATCTTGAGCAAACTCTGCCTTGAGCATGGAGCCCAATGCAAGACTCCAGGCAGGGCTTGATCCCACCACTCCGAGATCATGACCCCAGGTGAAACCAGGAGTTGGATGCTCCACGGACTAAGCCATGCAGGTGCCCCTTAGGATTTTATTTGTTAAGTATCTCTACACCCAGTGGGTCTTGAACTCACAGATCCCGAGATCAAGAGTCACATGCTCTGGTGGTGACTACTTTCAGATTCTGGCAGAAATTAGAGTTGCCTTTCGTTCTGGGCCATCTAAAAAAAATAGTTTCTGAAAATCTGGGAAGTATCACTGGATAGAAGTGGGATGGGGTTGGGGGGATTAGGATGCAGGTGGTTTGGTTTTGGAAGTGTTCCCGGGGATACAGAAGATGACTACTAAGTCAGGCAGCAGGCCTAGCTCAGTAAAAGCCCAGGTGTTTCCCAGGATAGACAGGTTTTCTACACTCATGCCTAAGCCCCTTCTTGGCCACTCATCTCCCAAGGGGAAGATGTGGGTGTAGGGTCAGGGGCCAGCTGGGATGCAAAGCCCCCTGGAGATGGGGGCAGAGGCAGAAAAAGGCTGGAATTTAGATCTGTTTCTTTCAGAGACCTTCTGAGTCTGAAGGGGCCTGAAAGCCCTGCCAAACTGTGAGATCCTGGTCCTGGCCACATGGCTGTGCCCCCGGGTGCCCAGACTGCAATATGTCCTTTTAAGATTCTACCCTTAGCCTGTGGCACTCTTCCACCACAGGCCTGGGAGAAAAGCTGAGATCCCAGCCACCCCTGGCCTATGGGTCCCCAGTGGGCGGAGTAGTGGGGCCAGGATTGTAGTTTCTGGTTGTCTGTTTTTAAATTTAGTACATTCTTCAGCCCTGCCTGCCCACTGGGGGAGATTAAGTCTGGGGTTCTGGGGAGCTCCTAGGGCTTTCCTGTAAGGTCGCCCCTGCAGGTAGGAGCCTGCAGGAACCAGCCTCCCTCCTGGCCCGTGGAAAGTCCTTTTTGCTATCTAGTTTCCATCCAGCCTAGAATGGGTCCGTCCCCTTTCCTTTTTTCTGGTCTTTGCTATACGCGGATCCTAAACAGTGGAAGCAGTGAAGAAGGTGATAAAGGAGTTGTGAAGCAGGAGGGAGACTGGAGCAGTGTGGGGGTGGTGCTGGGGGGTGAGGAGCCTAACCAGCTCAGCCAGTGGTGAGGCACTGAACCCAAAATAGTGGCTGAGGCTAAAATTGGCACCTACAAGAGTGCTGAGTTGGGCTGGGAACCTGCTGCCTGGCGCTGCTGCTGGGTTGTACCTCCTCTCCCTCCTTCAGGCAGGACCCTGCGAACATAGGATGCTCTGTTCCAAGGCTCTCCAGAGAAATGGACAGCCTGAGAGGCAGAAATGAACTGCAGTTTGGATGGTTACGGGCAGGGAGGGGGAGGGGTCCAGCATCAGGAAACTCAACACAGGTGGAGGTTGGCTCAGGCTGCGGCAAAAGGTCCTGAAAGAATGCCCCACTCCACCCTGCCTGTTGCGGGGAGACTGGCCAGACCCCAACTGCTACCCCGCCTGAGCGGCAACGTTGGAGAGCGGGGTTAGACACAAGGAAGGACTTCCCCGGCCTCCCAGCCTCCGGAGGAGGGGGCGGGGCCGGGGCCAGGGCCGGGGCCAGGGCCGGGCCGGGGCGGGGCGGGGCGGGGGGCTGGCGGGAGAGCTCTCGGGCGAGCACCCTCGCCTCCACGCCCGGTAGAGACCAGCCTTTTGCTTCTCCCGACTCTCCCCGCCCCCCCGCCCAGCCCCCAGCGGCGAGCGGGGCCTGGCGGCGCAGGCGGCGCAGGCGGCGGGGCTCCCTGCAGAGCGCGCGGGGCGGGGGCCGCGGGGCTCCTGAGCCGAGGTCGGCGGGGCGCGGGCGGGGCGCGCAGGACCGGCGGGCGGCGGCGGCGGCGGGGCGAGCGCCGCCCCCCCGCGCCCCGGCCCGCGGGCAGGCTCACGTTTGAGGAACTGCGCGGGGCGCGCGCGCGAGCCGCCTTCCTGTCCCGGGACCGCCCGCCGCCGCCGCCCCGACCATGTCTCGGATCGAGTCGCTCACGCGCGCGCGGACCGAGCGGAGCCGAGAGCTGGCGAGCAAGGTGGGCTCCGGGCGGCGGGGCGGGGAGGGGTGGGAGTGGGGGTGCAGGGGGGAGCGCCGGGGCGGGGGAGCGCCGGGGCCCGGGGCGGGGGGGCGCGCCGATCACGCCGCCTTGCCCCCCGGCCCGGCCGCCCCGGAAGAAAGTTGCTCCGGGCAGGGGCCGGGCGGGCGGAGGGAGGTGCGCGTGCCCGGGGGTCACCCCTCGGCCTCGCGCCCCGCGGTCGCCGGCGTGGTCGGCCCCCTTTGTCCGCGCCATCCGGCGCAGGGCCCGGCAGGGCCGGGTTCCCGGTCCCCCCCTCCGGCCCCCTTTCCGAGACAAAAGTCAGCCCCTCCTCCCCCCGGAGATGGACTTTCCAGCTGTGATTCACTTCTCCCCTCGGGTGGGCGGGTGGCTGGGGTCGGGGCGGCTGAGGGACCGCGCACTTCCTCTCCGAGACTTCACCCGCGGGCGCCGGGAGCAGAGGTCTTTGTGTAGTCGGGACCCTTCCCTCCGCCCTTAGGGGCCCTGAGCGCACCTGTTTCTGGGACTCGGGGTCTAGGTCCCCGTGA